AGGATAAATTCACAAATATAGATGAAACAATCTTGAAGAAGTTGTTTTTTTAAAGTACCTTACAAATGGAAAATATTTTTTGTCACTGTTTAGTTGTAACCCTCTCTCCGTGACCCCATTTGGTGTTTTCTTGGCAAAGATACTGGAGTGGTTTGCAATTTCCTTCTCCAGCTCATTTTATAGATGGGGAAACTGAGGCAAATAAGATTAAGTGATTTGCCCAGGGCCACATGGCTAGGAAGTATCTGAGGTCAGATTTTTGAACTCAGGTCTTTCTGACTCCAAATCTGGTGCTCCATCCACTGTGCCACCTATTTGCCCAATTTTGTTATTTTGTTAGAAACAGGAATAACACAGCCCAAGGGGGCGCCAGAGGAAATTATGGAAATAGAGGATGGATTGCAGATTGCCTGGATTAGAACAGATGTACTCCTTCCTGCTCCCCATTGAACATATTCAAATTAGCCACAGAATGGCCCAGAAGGCCCTTTATTGCTCTCAATCCCAATCTCTTCCTTTTAGGGCTATTGCAGGCAGGCCTAATGTCAGTACTCTCTTAGTTTAGGTTCAATGTTGGGATAAAATGAGGAACTTGTACGTCATCAAACAAAAGGGGGTTTACTTTGCTCTAACAAAGAAAGAATATGCAGCAAATATATCATGGTACTTAATTTCTCTGAATGGGCTACCATCATGTCCAAATGGAAATCAGTCTAGTCATCAGGGAAGAACGTAGCAAAAGCATGGTGACTCATGTGGTCTTCAGAAATCCACCAAGTTGGAATGGCCCCAACTCCAACATGGCTGAAACTTTCTATCTCTTTAGGTGACCAAGAAGTTACACCCTGGACCAACCAGGTCCTGTGACACCTTTGTCTTCTTTTAGAGAAAACCAATTCCTCTTGAAAGAGGGAAGGGAAGGAGCTTGAGCTCATCCATATTGTGGGTGAGGCAAAAATGAAAAAAGCTGAATCAGGGAAAGGGGCCAACCAGGTCCTGCTTGGAACTACTCTGCCTCCTTGTAGGAACAAAAGAATTCTTGTCACAAGTGGGAAGAAAGAAGGATGTGCCTAATCTATGTTGTGGAGAAAGCAGTAGATATTAGTCCTATCATGTGGTCACTTCTTGACTTTCATACTCCCACTTTGGAGTGGGTCTTATGGAAAGGATTTTTTTAAGGCAACCAACTGGTATAGTTATCCAATGTTGGAGGTACACAAAAGTCTCTGGAACACTCTGTTGTATGCAAATAAACTACAGTTGGAATAGAATTAATGAAATTTCTTGGTAGCTTTTTAGAGTCATGGTTACCATTCATATTATCACTGTTACTTTGTAACTGGGGCAGTTTTGTCTCATTTTCTGTCTCTCTGGACCTCCCAAGGACCTCTGAAAATTCAGAGAGGAAAATAGCAGAATGGATTCTGGAATATTTCTACTTTAAAGAACTGCCCTGGAAATCATGCTAATATATCTTTCCCACCCCCAATCTTCCAAAGAACATTATGCAAAGAGGATGGAAGTGATTTGCACGTATTGGGACTATCTGAATTATCAATACTCCTGAACAGGGCAAGCTGACAACGGAATGGTAGGGAGGAGAAGTGACACTGGTGGGACTAGGAAAGGGTAAGCTGGACTCGAGAAAAAAGCTGATTAGCCATAGCCCAGAGTTTGCTGGAAACCCAGAAGAGCTGCAAAAATTCTGCCTACCAATGTTAGGATCCTCTTGGGGCTCTGCTCTTCCATCCTTTTGTGTTTCTAGGAAAAGCTGCCTCCACCCTGCCCTTCCCCCATATGCCATGAAGCCCTAGGAGTGTGTGGAAATCCTAGAAGGGTGTGGAAATCCCTGGCACAGAACAAATTGGGAGTGGTGGGGGAAGTGGCTGGTTGGGTTCAAGAAAGTGTGTCAATTTTACTTTCACTATTATTAAACTACAGTAGCTTATATGTTGCTTGCTAGAATTTGTTGGGTACAAGGAAAAGAAATTGAGAGAATTATTCCAAGGACTGGGGGCTGAGCCAATGTAATTAAAGCAATTACCATTTTAATGCTAATTAATACTAATAATCATTACTAGACTCAATTTTGGGAAGCTACAGTGGGGGGGTAAGAAAGAAGTTCCTTTCAACCCTCTATGATCCCCCTACCTTTCAACATCCCCCACCCCCCCCAAAAAAGGCAAAATGACTAGTTGTCTTGGTGAAGAAAGCTCAATCAGAGTGCCACCTGGTGGTTGACTCAAATACCTTACTCTAAGTCTTTTGAAACCCCCTTTACTGATTTTAACCCATGTGACAGCTGCCTCTGTATGTTGGGGAAGGGGGCACAGTACTGAATCAGTGACACTGTGTTTTACTAATTTGTGTGTGTGTGTGATTTCCAACAGACTATAAACAACACTAACTCTTTTTTGTTCTTTACAAGAAACTAGATCATTAGTTTGTGAGTTCCTTGAAATCAGGGACTGTCTTTTTGTCCTTTTTTGTAATCCCAGCACTTAGCAAAATGCTAAAGGCATTTAATAAATGTTTATTGAGTATTGATTGATTGAAATCAGTCTTCATTAGGATCATATAATTACAGCTAGAAGGGACCTCAGATGCCATCAACTCACTCTCCACAGCCTCCTTTAGTTTACATGAGATTAGCTCAAGGTCACATAGGCATTAAGCAGCAGAACAAGGATTCAAACCAAGGACCTCTGACTTCGGATCCAACATTCTTTTCAATGCATTGGAGTTGTCAATAATGACCTATTCAGCACTACTATGTCCCTGAAACTGTGCTAGCCTGTGAAGGCTGCTACAGAAATGCAGTAGAGTAGTAAAAGACCTGAAGTCTAGTCCTGGCTTTGTCACTAACTCTTTGACTATGAGCAAGTCTATCTTTTGTGCCTCCAGTTTTCTCATCTGAAACTGGTAGGGATTGGGGGTGGGGGATAGGGCACATCCCTACCAATCCCAAAAGTCTAGGTATGATTCTGTATGATACTGTCTCTGCCCTTAAAGAGAATATAGTGTCAGGGGTGGGAAGTCAGTGATGAAATGGACTTACACATATAATATATAATAAATTGTTAAATCATTCTTAGTATAGTAAAAAGTATCAGGAGTACCAACAGTAAATGAAGTGACAGTAGCTACTATGATAAGTCTTGTAGTGTGGATTTTTTATCATGGTGAACTCGGGGTTGAGGGAAAACAGGTGAACAAAAGGGGGTATTAAGTCTCTTTCTGCTAAGTAAGTGAGAAAGAGAAATATAATTAAGCCAGTGAACAAATCATATGGATGCTATTATAATAATCAACCAAACCTCACTTCATTGAGAAGAGAGTTGATCATTTTTGGGTAAACTTTAAAGGTACCTTTAAAAGGGTATTTGCTTTAGGACGACTAATTTTTGTACCATATGATTCAATGACACATTCAAAGGCCTGGTCCACACTACAGCCTGGAGCCATATTTAAACCCATTTTTCAACCATGGCTAACCCCAAATACAGCACCATCATAAACTATGTTCAATTATAGTGCTTGAGGGAATGAGTTTCCACTATACTTTTGCTAACACATTTGTTTGTGACAAGGTTTAGTCTCCACTGAACTGTCAGTTTTAATCACACTGGAAAAATCCAGTTAACCTAGTGGAAAGAACTTTCTTGATGGACCCTCTTCAGAAAAACAGGGGTGCTGAGGAAACAGTCTAGGAAACGTGGATAAAGCCAAGGGAACAGGGGCAGGGATGGAATAAAGAAAAACAAAAAAAAAAGAAAGCCAGAAGAGGATAGAGAGAGGATCCTAAGGCTGACAGTCAGTCAACATGCATTTATTAATTGCTTACAGAGAAAGGTAAAAGACAATCCCTGATCTCAGAGTAGAGTATTTTAGGCGAGACAACAAGCAAATAACTACGTACAAACGTGATATATACAAGATAGATGGGAGATAATTAGCAGAGGGAAGGCAACAGCATTAAGCGGCATCGGAAAAGGCTTCTTGTAGGGGAAAATAAAAAATAAAGGACAGGGGAGGCTGGAAGGAGAAAGCGAGTATGTGTTGTAAGGGTTACCTGGGAGAAGACCTGTGTGCGAGGGTGCAGGAAGGGGGAAAGGAAGAATCCAGAGTGGGGGACACCAAAAGGGAACTAGGGTCAAGGTGAGGAAGCGGATGGTTTAATACAAAGAAGCAAGGACCGGCAGCTAGCGCAGGCAGTAAATGTTACGCGTGCAGTGGGAGCATGGGTCAGGAGGAAGAAAGAGCGAGAGGTGGCGTGGGGTAGGAGGGGAGACGTAGGGTGTGTGAACGTGGGTGGAGTCACGGGACAAGGGGGGGGGGGGAGGTACGGTGAGCAGACCGGTGAAGAAAAGCAAGAGAGCAAAAGGTTTCATAAGCTTAAGGAAAATAAGACACAAGTGCAAAAGCAGCCACGTGAACATACGTACGCACAATACCCCAAGGGGGTGGAAAGTGCAGACTACGGTGGAGTGGGGTGGTGTGACATGCTTGTTTTGCTTTGTTTTTTGCCAGTTGGTTTCATTCAGGGGTTACGGGCAGAGTTGGGAGAGGCGGGAGGTGGAACACTTGAGCCTCTCCGCCGGCTCAGCAGAGCCCCCCAACGCCACTGCGTCTGCATCCTCCAGCCGGCCTCGCCGCCGCAGCAGCCGCGCGCACTCCGTGCCCCCCGGGGGCCTGGGAAGGCGCGAGGAGGCGGCGCGGGGCTCCGCGGAGAGGAAGCAGGGAGGGAAGGAGGTGGGAGCAGCAGAGTACGCCGCGTCAGCAGCGACAGCCGCGGCCCGGGCTGAGGAAGGGGGCGGGGGCGGGGGGAGGGGGGCAGCGCGCGTGCGCGCCGCTAGGGCTCCAGCTGCGGGAGGGAAGCGGAGAGCGAGCGAGGGAGCGAGGAAACGAGGGAGCGCGCGCGGCGGCTGGAGCTCCGGCGGAGGCAGCGCGGCGGGGCGCGGGGCGGCGCGGGTCCTGCCGGGACGGGCGGCGGCGGCGGGTTTGTCCAGACACCTGAGGAGGCGGCGGAGGAGAGGCGGTGGTCGCGGCTGTGCGAGGAGATGTGGTCCTTGGTGGCAGCGCTGCTGCTTGGCACCGTGTGCGGCGGTAAGTGTCCCTCCGACTCCCCGGTCCCCGCGTCCTCCCGCCCCCGCCCCGCAGCTGCCGAGCCCCCCTCCCCGACCCCCTGTTTCTTTGCCGGCGGCCCCCGGGGAGCTGCGCCCCCGAGGGCGGCTGCCGGGCGGCGGGTGTGTCCGCCTCGGGCTGGCCGTGGCCGTGGCCGGGGGAGGGAGCCAGGCGGGCGGGCGTCTGTGTCCTGCACAAACACACACACACACTCGTCCCCTTCACTTTCACATCCAAGATGGGAACGTGGGAGCCACCATCTCCTCCACCCCCCCCCCGCTTCGCCACGTCTTGTGAGGGATCCCCTTACCCCGTTTCCCTTCTCCTCCCCCAGTGCAGACGCAGGTCTTAACTCCCCCTTCCACCTCTAAAATGCAGACACCCCAGAGACGTCAAAACATTCGTGCCCCACACCTCCCCCCCCCAAAAATGAAATGGGGAACGGGGTGACCGCCCCCCCCCCCCCCGCTCTCCCCCCCCTTCTCCCCTCCCCCTCCCTCCCTTCCCCCCGCCCAGGTCTCTGCTTTAGATGTATTTGGGGGGAAGAGTAGAAAACATGGGCCTCTGGAGCCCTCCCCGAGGAGTGCGCATTCTGGCGAAGTGGGGAGCCCTGTGAGGGACCGTGAGTTGCTGCTCTCACATGGGCTCAGGAGGGAAGAGGACAGAAAGGACGGTCAAGTTTGCTTCCCCTGGCCAACCTTGGGGGAGAAACCTTTCCCCGGCTGCCTTTTGGACATATGAAGAGGCCCAGATAACGCCCCCCCCATGAACCACTTTATACTATCATCTTCAGCTCCAAGCTCCATTACTTTATTTGGAAAATTCTTTCATGAACTACCCACATCTTATGCTCCAAATATGAAAAATAATATCCAGTAGTAAAAAAAAAAAATTAGTTGCGTGGGGTTGGGGATACAGTTCCAGACCAGCCCGTTTTTTTCAGACTTTCTGGACCCAGAGCTTTGGGGATTCGGCACGCTTTGGAAAAAACATGTCAGCGGTTAGGTAGTTCCTGTGAACGTTTAACTTCCAGGGTCTGCTTTATTTCTTTATGTTAAGCTTTTTGTAAACTCTCAGTGTAATAATACATTTCTGCTCTGAGTAGCATACAATAATAGGAACAAGGAAGTTCATTTATGGAGGGCTAAAGTAATTTGACTCTTACCTGAGTACTGCCCTTCAAGTCTTGTTGGTAATGTGTATATGACTTTATAGACTGTTAGTAAGATTCCAGTAGATATGTTTCATTTTCTTTTTGATGAATATCCTGCAGTGTGAAGTAGATAAGTTATCCAGAGTCCTAAAAGCCGTATACTTCATTTTAGAAATATCACAACAGATACTGATTTTAAAAATCATCATACCTGTAATAATTCTACACTGGCATAATTTCAAAAAGCAGTGCTTTTGAATTTTCTTTTAAAAGAAAGTGATTATAATGTGATATAAAGTATCAACATTTCAGACTAATTGTTAATTCAAACTTAATTCAGTCAAGTCCAGTCTGAGTTAGTAAAAGGGTAGAATTAAAGAACATTTTAAAAATGTTCTTACTTCTGAGCATGTTGTTAGAAACAAGTACTATAAAAGTAGCTCCCAGGTAGAGATCCTTGTGGACCTGCTTTAATGATAGATAAGACTTATTTGTAATTGGCCACATTCATATTATGTATATGTTTTCATTTATTATGTAGTTTAATAAGAGAATATGTGGAGGAGGGGCAACAATTATCATGCAAAGTTTTAAGTTGAGTTTTTATAGATAATATGCCTGTAAAATTTGGTTCAAATGTATAACAGACAGGACATACATTGATTCAGAGTAAAATCCCATGTTTAACACTTCGATATGATTGCTTTCAGTTTTATTTCTTATGGGGAGGTATTTTTTTTTCCTGTAGTGTAGCAAGTTTTCTACAATATCAGTGTCTTCCATAGCAAGGCATATTTTGATCTTAAAAATTCCTTCAATCTAAGTACAATAGAGCTGCTTTATACCTTGTGGCATTTCATTACAAGATACCCCCTCTGATATTGAGTTATTTTCTCTGAACAAATGTATTTTTATTCTTCCTTATTTCTGTGCCTACTCGTGATCTATTGCACTTCCTCTAAAAGGACATCATTACTCTTGTTGTCAAGCATTTATTTATTTAATGCAAAATTGATAAATAAACCCAACAAACCTCAAATAGATGATGACCCGTATATAAACTGCCATGTTCGGGAGTTTTCTTTGTTGTGAGCTTTTAAAATCAGGATTATATATGACAAAAAATCTTTACTATCTGGGCAAAATAGTAATTTGGTTTGTTCAAAACAAATGGCTTTTTTTCTCTAAGAAATATATTATTTTTAGATGTGAGTTGCTGTTTTAAAGAAGTAAATGCCTATTTAAAAGTATATTTCTGAGGATGGCCTAGTGGTATGGAGGTAGTGTTAAAGGATTATGGTTCATGCTTGCCATTAGGACACTCAATCATGCTGTCACCTGTGTTTTGGCAGATGTTTTATCTTTGCCACCGAGTTGGAAATGGAGATTTGAGAGGATAGGTTATGAGAAATGGATATTTCCCCTCAAATTGATAAGTAATCTATAGACTTCAAAATCATTCACACAACAAAGCATCAATTCTAGTTCCTCAGTGTCAATGCTGCTACTGCAGTGCTAAGACTTTATTATAAATTATTTCAGTGATAATAGTTCTAAGTCTTAGTATTTTCCTTCCACTGAGATTACCTAAAGCTAAATTTTCCCTATTATTTTCAGTTCATTTCTCTTGTCCTCCAGTAACGTCTTAATCATGACATGGAGTTGACTCTAAGTTTTCGAAAGCTGTGCCAGAGCACAGGTTCTGGCGAGACCTACTCTTAATGGAAAGGTTTTGAGTACCATGAGCTTGGTGATGGACTTCCAAGGACCAGCCTAGTTAATTCTGAGCTTGGCCTCAGGGTGATGAATTTTTCAGGCATAGTAACTCTCTAAGACCATCGTTGGTGAAGACTTTGCCCGTGCCACTGAAATCACAGCTCCTTGGAATATCGATGTAAGCATGTTTCATGTTGTAATGTAATGGATATTGAACACTTCATGCGTTATTGAAGACATTTCTTCTATGTTGTTAAAAACAAGAAGAATGTTAGAGCTGACTGGTTTAGCAATTTAATTTTTACAAAAAACAAGTTTATAATTAGACTTGATATGTAATCTTTTAAAGTTGGCAAAGTGCTTTATATATATTATCTAATTTGAGCCTCATAATAACCTTGTAAAATAGTAAAAAAAATTTATTTCATGTAGAGAAACATTCTATTCCCTATAATAACATGACCTGGATTTTTTTTTTTAATAGATTTATGGCAAGTGGGATTTTGTTTTGGTTGAAATTGTGTTTTCATTGCCTTGGACACCTTGTGCTCGTGAAACTCCCTCTACTAAGTCCATATGTGCAACTTCTCCTCAACTTAGAGTCTTAGGTAGGGGCTGGGAGGTGAATTAAATGAGGGACAAGTCTTAAACCCAGGTATTCCTGATTAAAAAAAAAAATCTATTCCTTATTTCATGTTACGTCTTTTAAGTGGACTTTAGTGTTAGGGAAGTAAAGAAAATGAAACATTCTGGCTTCTTGGCAACATGATGAAATGAAAGGTAGCGTGGTGTAGAGGAATAAGCATTGCACATGGAATTAAGGGACCTGGGTTCAAGTCCTTCCTATTGCACTTAGTAACTATATGACCTTGGACAAGTCACTTAGCTTTCCTGACCTTCTGTTTCCTTGTTGGTAAAATGGGGATACTGTTTAACTCAAAGAGTTGTGAGGATCTGTGTAAAATGAGGATTTATGTAAAGTGCAACAAAACCTATTATTAATGCCTAATTCCAGTTATGACTTGAACCTTTAGAACTCCATCAGGAATCTCAGAGATTTTGGGTAAGCACAAAAGTTATTTGGAAAGGGGACCATTGTTCACTCTTGAATATAGTCATATCTTTTTTGGGGGGGATGGTGGGGGTAGGGAAGAAAAGCAAAGTTTTTGATTGTGTCATTCTTTTTTCCATTTCAGTCATCTATCAACAACTATTTAATGAGTTCCTACTGTGTACTCAGCATATTGCAAGACATAGTGAGGGCCAGAGAATAATTTGAAGTCATTAGTACCTAGAAACTTAGACAGTAATACAGATGTTGGGATTCTTGTTTTCAGTATAGTACTGTTTATTTTGGATGCTGGATAAATATTGATAATTTCATTCTACAGCTATGTTATTGTGTCACTTTAATTTATAAGTTCTTAAGGTCACAGGATGTAGAGTTAAGGACTTTAAATATCATATAGTCAAGCTACCTTATTTTGCTGATGAAGAAACTGAAACCCATAGCTGGAAAATGACTTGCCCAAGGTCACATATAGAGTATAGCAGAGATGAGATTCTGATCCAGGTCTTTACATCATAATTGTTTTATAGAAAGGAGACATCTTAACGATCTGATAGAAACATTAATGAAAATAACCACTTATTTAAATTCTGGTTAGGTGCTTTCTATTCTCCTTTGAAGCCTTCTTTGTTTAACATCTCTCCTTTGTAAATAATTCCTCCCATCTCAATCTTCAGTTCCTTTCTGTTTCCTCGTCTGTAAAATGGGTTATAATAATAGCACTTACCTCCCACAGTTGTTGTGAGAATCAAATGAGATAATACTTGTAAAATGCTTTGCAAACCTTAAAACATTATGTAAATACTAGCGATGGTGGTGGTGATGCGTCTTCTATGTCTTCATCACATCCTAACTTACAATTATTTGTGTACATCTTAACTTTTGATTAGATTTATTCAACAAATTAAAATTGTAAAATGTTCATTGAAGCCTGTGTGAAGAGATGTTTAGATTAAGAAAAGATCCCTGTCTTCATGGAGCTTACAGTCTAGTAAAAGCTATGACCCATATACAACTAATCATAATGCTGAATCATATATGATG